CTGTGTGCCATGTGATGTACATCCTCAGTTGGTTATGAAACCTCTCTGGACTGCAGCTTCTCCATCTCTAAGAGTTACTACCCTGCAAGTGAGGTAGCTGAGGACCATATGATGCCATCTCCAGCAGCATGCATGCATGCATACAGCACCCCTAGAAGACACACAATAGATACAACTGAGATAAAAGTGCCAGAGATGGCTGGGGATTTAGCTCAGTGGTAGAGCACTTGCCTAGCAAGCACAAGGCCCTGGGTTCGGTCCTCAGCTCAGGAAAAAAAAAAGTGCCAGAGAAACACTGTTTCTACAAAAGGGCTTCCCCATACCAGTGCCAGTGACACCTGGGGACTGTCCTGTAATGTTTAGCAGCCTCTCTGGCCTCTACCCACAAGATGCCAGTAGCAGCACCCCCCACCCCCCACCCCCGCTCCAACTACTTTCCAGGCATCTCAGACACCATCTGAGGACCATGATTTTCTAGGAAAAGATCCACTGAGCAGTTAGGGACTTCTCCCCTGGCCAGGTACCCCTAACTCCTGTGTGGAGTAACCAGATGGGTGTCTCTGAGGGTGAAGAGAAATGAGGGCCTCTGCACTGTTGATGAAAACAGGGTGAGGACCGTGGGAGGAGCAGAGGGAGGGGGGTTCCCCACCTCCATTCCAGTCACCCGCAACAGGACCGTGGCCACCCCACAGGGGGCCTGGTGCAGTGTGATAGCCCTCTCTCCACGCTTCTTCCCCTTTTCACCAGCAGGGGCAGGCGAGCCACCTGTGGGAGCCAAGGGACCGGAAGCAGAGCAAGGTCACACAGCAGATTGTAGGCAGCTAGCTGTCTGCGCACCAATTGGACACTCAGACAAAATAGATTGGGTTTGTTCCCAAGCTTCCCAGATGCTGTGACCTTGAATAGGTACCCCACTCCACTTTCTCTTGGATGCCTTCTTGACCTCTATCTCTCTATTTTGTCCACTTATCTGTTAAACTATTTTGGCCAAATACCTATTATCTGTCTAGCTCTGTATTAGATCTCTAAGGAGATATATAATATATATGTGTGTATGTATATGTATATATATAAAACAATTTCTTTTGAAGTGATTCCTTTTCAAGAGGGGATCAAGGAAGATCTTAACTAAATAAACAGAAGAGAAGGCATAATTGGACAGGTTCATATATTCAACTGGAAAAACAATGCACATTCACACACATAGGCAGGGGGTCACGAAGGCCATAGACAACATGCTGAGGGGAGATGGAATAGAACACAATTCCTTACAGTGTTAAACACATGAACCGGATGTGTTGATTTTAAAAAGGGAGAAGGAGAAGCAGTCTGCACAAAGGGCACCAGAACCCTGTCTAGCCCTCCAAGGACGAGTGGGTCAAAGCTTGCTCAGTACAAGGGCTCATTTTCCCAATGGGAACAAGCCTGACCTTACCTCAATCAAACCACTACGAAGTTTTCTTCTGGCAATTCCAGGGCACTCTCTGCTTCCTTTGTTCCTCTCCGGGGAATAGAGCCTGACACTAGAAAAACCACTTAAAAGCCACACCCTTCCACCACCATGCAAGTGTGTATACAGGGTCTGTGCAGGGCCAGAGAGACACACCCTGGGCTGGCACTCATTACAAACAAACAAACAAACAAACAACAACAAACCTAGCCAAGCTAAGGAATACTCAGATCATCCAAAGATGCACCCCAAAGCCAAGCCAGGTTACTGCTGTAATCTATACACATCTGCCAGCAAGGAAAATGGTGCAGAGAAATCGGCAGGCATTGCAGCCAGCCTGGCGCACTTAGCGGGATAACCGTTGATTTAGAGAAGCTTTGCAAAGGGCAGCAGGCAGGCAGTCCTTACGTGGTGGTGGACACAAGCGGCAGCAATACACACAAGATGCCATCTCAGAATTGTGACCACAGAATTAGCCTACGGAGGTCCATATTTCACTTATTGCTGCGAGACCCGACAGTTGAAGGGACAGGGCAGGGATCTTAAAGAGCCCGGCCCCAGCCAAAAGAGATCTAGAGGGGATGGTTAGTCTGTTCCAGATCCTGTCATCCACCCAATGCTAACCAGCCCGAAAAATGAATAGGGCCTCCAGGACATAAAAGGGCTCATCCACCCGTTGAGGCTAGTGGTTGAAATCTTAGCTTTTGTTGGGTACTTGAACCCTTTGGGATGAGCCCAGGCTGGCTCAGCGCTCCTCAGCCCTTGCTCCAGCTCAAACTTCTAGCTCATTTGTTAAAGCAAGGGCCGAGCCAGGAACCGAGTCTTTCGATCCCCGCAGAAGGACCACGCAGCAACCCCCGATGATCTTTTCATTAACAACTCAGGCCTTGGCGACCACAGTACCTCACCCAACCGCCAACACAGTGCAAAATGGAGCGAGTTCGAAGACGCGTGGTCTGTGCTTTGTTTCTGCACTGGGTGAAATGTTCTCCTTCCTCCCCCTCCCGCCGATCTCCCACCTGCAGGACTGTGACACCTTTGCCCAACTGGCCGCAATAGAAAGCCTCCCTCTCAAGGCTTCCCTTTTCCGCGTCCACCCGCTCTGGATTAAGAATCCGGTTCCCATATTTGAACATTTGAATCCATCATTTTTGAATCCATCCTTCAGCTGCTCGGGAAATCTCTATCGGGCGGGCGCAGCCACGACGCCACAGCCTCGGGCCGCGTCTGGCCGGGAGAGGGCGTTCCACCCCCATCCGAGACATTCTCAGAAATGCAGATCAAGCTGGGCAGCCGACGTGGGCGATTCCGCCCTTAAGGTGCTCGTCGGTCTCAAAAATGCACGCCTGCACCAGTATTCAGTGGTGGAATTAACTAGAAAACCTCGAAGACTGGGGCTTACTGCAGGATGGGGGAGGCTGGGACCTGTTCGCTTTCCATCCCTCTTCGGTTTCAAGGGAGGTTGTAAATGTGGACTTTTAAGTGAAACTCCCTCGTTTAAATAATATTAACAAAATAATATCAGTCAGTATGCCTATAACAAAATACACCAGAAGCACGAATCTGGATGGCTACGGTTTCCAGTGCCAATGGGAATGATGAGGTCAGGGATGAGAGGCTCCTTCCCCGCGTCTTCCAGTAGGACATGTTGGCACTGTCAGACTACCCCAGAGGCTGAGTAAGGGGCGGGGTAACGCCCAGAGGTTCCTCCTCTGGCTGGTATGGTTTCTATGGCAACTCCTAACCCGCCCTCCTCCCCGTGGGTTGGGAGGGATGGGTGTGGTCGCTGCACCCCAGGGGATCTCATGCCCCTTCTCACACTCTCGCACCGGGAGAGGTAAGAGTGCTCAAAGGTGGTGGTGGGGAAGCCGAGCTTGCCTAATCTCCCCACTCCCAAGGGTGAGCTGGCGCCCCTAGCAGTGAAACATGGTGGGGTGTTGTCCCCAGGACGCCCTGGGTGTGGGGAGGGACGTGGTTCCTCTGAGGACACCTGCACACGAGAGTCTACCTCGAATCCCACCCGTGTGGTTCAGCTAACGCCCCCTGGATTTGGGCCGAACTGGGGGAGAGGGCTGCGCGGGGGTCACGTCCGTTCCATGTGTGCCCTGGGGGCTGTGACTAGACCCCCAGCAAGTCAGTAGATCCAACAAAGGGTCTGAAATGAGCAGTGAGAAAAAAGGATGGAGTTGCGCGTAACGCCTAGGTAATACCCTCGTCGAATGAAAGCCTCCCCGCCCCCCCCCCAAAAAAAAAACAAAACAGGACTAGGAGCGAAGATCCTAAATCACACAACCTCGATGAACAAAGCAGCGAGCTCCCTTAGAAGACCCCAGGTGAACGAGCGGGTGCGCACGGCGCAGAAGCTAAAAGCCAAGAAGATTTCCACGTTCAACACCCCACTTGCTCCTTAACGCGAGTCCCAGCCGGGTCCTCCAAAGCCTGGCCACAGCACTTGGCATGCTACGATAGAGACGTGACTCGCCGCAAAAAGATGGCACCTCGCGTTCAGAGGGGGAAAAAACCGGGGGAGGGGTGGCAGCGGGAGGAGACACATCCTACTCTCCCCCTCCTCGCCCACCCAGGTCCACACCCACTGCCGCAGTGAGGGGCGAGCCCTGCGCGCCAGCCGGTGCCTCCGGCAGGGAGCGCACATGCCGGGAGCCCGGCGCAGAACGCAGAGAAAGGAATCCGCCCTGAAATGCACCTGCAGCCCTAGCGCAGGTCTGTGCTCGGCTGTGACTGTGCGAGCCCTCGGGCGGGGGAACCGCGCCTGGCAAGCCCGCTGACACCGCGAGGCCAGGTGACCCCTGCCTCTTTGAGCTTCCACACTGGAATCCGCGCACTACCTTCTCTCGGGCACGGCGCTGCCCCTGTCACTGTACCAAGCGCGCGCAGGGGGAAGGGCGGCTAAAGTGACAGCGCCTGGACCCCTCCCCATCCTCCCGAATCCTCCCAGCCCCCAAATGTCCCCTGCCGGCTTCTGAAGGAGGAAAAGGGGAGGGGGCGGGACACCGCCTTAAATCAGGGCCAGTGAAGGCCCCATCAGAATCACTGTCAAGGAGGTGTGGGGAGAAGCATGCACGCAGTCATCTTTTCTAGGACCCAATCCACACCTTCCTTGGGACTGATGGCAATCAGGGGCAGAGAAATTTGATTACAGGTTCAGTTTCGGGGGTCATCGTTGGACCCCAATACACACACACAGACCCACGCCCATTGCGGCAAAACGCTGAGATCCAGAGCACAGAGCAACCCCCTCCCCTAGGTCACCGCCATCCGCGCCCCACCCTGCTGGCACAGACGCCCCCCCCCCGTTTGCGTGGAACGGATGGTGCAGACCCCAGCACCCACAGACACACGCATTCGCCCGCGTGCGTGCATCTTTTGCACGCGTTCCTTCCCAGCTCCCCAGCGCCGAGGGCGCAGAGAGGCCCCCGCCGTTGCGCCTGATTGATGCCCAGCGCCCTAAATCCATCTCTGGGGTGAGGGGCGACAGGAGGATGGCGCACAGGGCCAGATGGAGACCCGATTTCAGAGCTGCAGCACTTACCTGATGGTCTACAGAAGGCGAGGATAGGAGAGGACAGCGGAGGAGAAGGTGGTTGTGGCGGCGGCGGCAGAAGGTGGGCGGTGGCGGCGGCGAGGCTTGCTGCTGGTGCCGGAGGAGCTGGTGGGTGGTGGAGACTGGGAGCGCGCGCGCCGCCGAGAGAGCGCGTTCCCGAGGCCGGCGGGCGGCGCAGGCGCGAGCCACGGGAGCGCGAACCTCGCGAGGGGAGGGGCGGGCCGTGATGCCTGCGGGGCACCTTCCCTTCCGGCCACCAGGAGGCGCGCGCGAGCGCCCCACAGCCCTCCCCTCCCCGCGCCGCCCGGCCTCGCTGCTCTCCTCGCTTCCTTTCCCGGGTCCCGCCACACCTCGGGCCGCCGCGCTGACCGCCGCGCGCACGCGCGTGCTCCGTGGCGCACGCGCACCCTGGCCTCCCGGGGTTGCAGCCTTTGTCTAGTCCGGGGGTCTCCTCCCTTGGTCCCCGAGGGGTCGAGGGTGAGCGGTGTGCGCAATCTTGCTGGCTCGCCAGGGATACATGCGGGACCCCGAGGCCTCCTGCAGGCGTCTCCCGAAATGTGGTCCTCCGGATGGAGACCACTTCCCCAGGGGCCGCTGTTTGCTTGCTTGCTTTCCACCTTTTTTTTGTTAATGGCCAAAGTGAATCATTTCCTTAACAAATCCTCTTGAAACAGGTTAATTTTGATAGTAATACAGTTTAGAGTTTTCGTGAAAAAAAATTTTTTTTTAATCAAAGGAGCATTCAATCCCATTAGGTATCTAACCGTGACCCTAGGGAAGAGAAAAAGAAATCTTAAAACAGGTACGTTTTAATGATGCTTACCGCACTGCAAGGCGTTTCCACAGAGTTATTTTTATCTCGTTTGTTGAGACACCTTTGTACAGCTTGAGAGCTGAATTTTTAAGGCGCTTGCTGGAGATGGCCACCTCCTGGATGTCAGGCTTCCATGTGGAAATTGGCCACTAGTCCTTATTCTAGCCACCTAGGCGTGGGCTGTGGCTGTAATTTAAGATTTCTCACCTCCCCAAAGCTCAAAGCTCTTGGAGCCTGTTCAAATGCAAGGAAGAGGGGCAGATAGCTCTTGCCAGAGAGGTGGAATCTTGTCTTGAAGCTTTAATTTGCACAACTTTTTTCTTTCTTTCTTTTACAAGGCAGGTTCTCACTATGTAGCCCTGGCTGAGCCCAGGGCTCACAGAGATCTACCCACTTGCTTCTGTCTCCAGAACGCTGGGACTAAAGATGTGTGCCCCTATGCCAGCTATTGTTTAAAAAACTCCAATGTTGTACCAACTCAGTGTGGTGGCTCATATCTCTAATCCCAGCATTCAGGAAGGCTGAGGCAGGAGGGTCACCATGAGTTCAAGATCATCCTGGACTACTTAGTGGATTTTGCTGTGCTTGCAGAAGACCAGGATTCCCAGCACCCATATGGCAGCCCACAGCTGTCTGTAACTGCAGATCTGGGGGATCCCACACCCTCTTCCAGATCCTAAGGGCACCAGGCATGCCTGTGGGGCACAGGCATGCATGCATACATGCAGGCAAAACACTCATAAACCTTTGAACTAACTAATGTGCAAGGCTTTGGGCTCGATTTTCAGGCACCACCGATTTTTTTTTTCATAGGGGCTTAATTACTGTATTATTTTGGGAGCCCTGGGTAGATGATAGAAACGGGGCTGATTTCTTATGCCTCGGGTTCTGAATTTCTAGGTCTGACCTTGCTGTTCTTCCAACTATGACCATCCTGCTTCAAAACTCTTACTTAGATTCTGGACATCTAGGACCTTAGTGACCTCCCCACTCTCAGTGTTCCCTCTTTCAGTTTTCCCCTGCTCTTCTGGTCAGATCAATTTTCAGACACGATCCTTTCATTCATATTAGTCCCTTGCCCAAAGATGTCTACCAGCTTCCAAACAGGTGCACTGAACTCTCTGGCCTAGCTTAAGCCCTTCCCCTGGATCAGAACTCCGGTCCATTCCACTTCTATCCATCACCAACTCTGTGACCAAGGCTGCTTAACCGAGTCTCTTTTCCACCTCTGTGCTCTGGGTTCCTTTTGCCTCCAAGGTCCCTGCCACCTGTTAATACCCACCTAACCTTGACAATCAAGCTCAGATTCTACCAGCCCCTTCTTCTCTCAGCCCAAGCAGAAGGGCTGTTTCTGGTCTCTACAAGGAACTTAGCCAAATTATTCCCGAGGAGAGGAGTAGAATTAACATTTATCTTGCAGGGCTGGCGTTTTTTCTTATTGTCTTCAGTAGTCGCTGTTTCCTGGGTGGGGAATCACACACCCCTGCCCATTACCAGCTATGAGATGTGGACCTGTCCAAATAGAAACGTAAGGCATGGCAAGTTTCTGTGTCTTTGGCTTCCTTTCCACTACTAGAAAGACATATTGCCTGGCACTGCTCCCGCCACCGCCACCCAGATCCTGGAGCGAAAGGCCTAAGGAAGTACATACAAAATGAGCAAAAATTAAAATTTGTTGCAGGAGCCACCGAGAGTCTGGGTGCTGGTTGTTAGCCTGACAAAGCTGACTGTGGCATTTTAATACATGTCTCTCTGTGTGGTTTCTTCTACAGTAACAAATTTCACTCACTAAATGATAAATTGTATTTATGTCATTATCATTTTCAAGGTCAATGCTTCCGTTACACTTTATTTTCTTAATATGTGTCATCTGTCACCATCAAAGTGACACCCCTCCACATTCAAACTTATCATTATGAGCCCGTAATATAGAGTATGACGGAGAACTGTCAAGGACCTGATGACACCAGTCCCCTGATACCGAGTGTTCACATTTGCCCACACTAAATGGAGTAATGAACGCTACAAAGAGTCTTGAGTGAGTCTGTCCTTTAAATGTATGTGATGTGAAGTTGAGTGTTCATTCCAGATAATTTGATCACTGTGGGTAGCTAATGGCTCACTAATGCAGGCCAAGAAAATGTATCCCCTCCCATCCCTCTGCCCCTCCCTCTTGCTGAAACAGAAAGCTTATGGCCTCTTGGGTCCAGCACATGCCCTCACGTGTAGGACCATAGAAGGCAGATTAGTATAAGGGAAAAGAAATTGACAGGAATAGCAGGAACTGTGGGCCCAATCTTGTGAGGTTAGACAAATTCATTACCTTCTCCTGGCTTCAAGTCCTTTATTGAACAGTCTCAGATACGGTTAGACCCGAGATCGATAGTCTGGAAGCTCTGCCACTAAATGTATTCACACACACACACACACACACACACACACACACACACACACACACACCCTGATGCATTGGAACGAAAGGATCCTAGCTGTACTGGTTCTAACCTGGTTTCAGTAGTTCAGTAGTACAGGTAGGTTTTCCAGGTTGGGGTGCATAAGTTCTCCCTCCCTGAGAGATTACGGAACCAGGCTCCTTTCATTTTGTGACTCTCCTGCTTCTTAGGGCCTTGTTCTTTGTGGGGGTGAGGAAGGGGAGGAGCATGTGGAGGAGCTACTGTTTGTCCCAGAGGCCGGCATGGGATCACTTTAGTCAGATGGTTGTCTCCAACTGAAAGATCAATAAATGCAGGAGAGTCGTGGATTCTGGAAGAGGAAAAAGGATTTCAGTAAATGCCAGTGTCTGCCTCATATATTCTATGCTGGGGGCTAAAAGGACCCTGGGAAAATCAAAACTCTGTTATGAGACTGTGTGGATGTGATGAATATATTGGAAGATCATAGAGGATGGGGGTGGGATGGGGGGTGGAAAGCTTCTAGGGAAAGATGAAGCCAATTTCTCCCAAGAAAGAAGGTGTTGCTAATACTTCTGTATCAGAGAGTGCTTGTCTTAGTTAGGGTTTCTATTGCTGCAACAAAACGTTATGACCAAAAAGCAAGTTGGGGAGGAAAGAGTTTATTTGGCTTACACTTTCACATTTCTGTTCATCACCAAAAGAAGTCAGGACAGGAACTCAAACAGGGCAGGATCCTAGAGGCAGGAGCTGATGTAGCAGCCATGGAGAAGTGCTGCTTACTGGCTTGCTTCCCATGTCTTGCTCAGCCTGCTTTCTTGTAGAGCCCAGGACTACCAGCCCAGGGATGGCACCACCCACCATGGGCTAGGCCCTCCCCCATTGATCACTAATTGAGAAAATACCTTACAGTTGGATCTTATAGAGACATTTCCTCTACTGAGGCTCCATCCTCTCTGATGACTTCAGCTCGTGTCAAGTTGACATACAAAACCAGCCACTACAGTGGTTCACCTGTTCTACACCATGGAACTCTTGAACATCTCAGGAAACCCCTTTCCAGAAGAACATTTTTAAATGCATAAAGTGAAATATGTATAATCACAGGCTGGAGAGCTGGGTCAGTGGTTAGAGTGCTTACCTTTCTTGCAGAGGACCAAGGTATGGCTCCCAGAACCCATATTAGGTGGCTCATAACTGCTTATAACTCCAATTCCAGGGGGATCTCATGCTCTCTGGCCTCTACAAGCACCTGCATGCATGTGGTACATATAAACTCATGTGGACACACACACACACACACACACACACACACACACACACACA